TAAGAACCCATCGTGAAAGAATTCTAGGAACTGTTGAGAATGAGAACCAGACTCTATTTGTAGATATCCAGATTCAAAGCTATTGTGCTGCCTCCTTCTGTCACACTTTACAGTGGACCAAAGGACCCTCCATTGAGTGGGAAGCTCAGTCACTTTCCACCTTTGATTTTGGCAAAGGTTAGAACTGGTAACAGGTTGTGTGAAAATTCACTTTTACACTAACTGGCCTCCGAGAAAGGCAGCATAACAATTGAAGCTTCCTAAATCCATCTCCCTAGCCATCTGGCTGTGCTGACTCTTGAAAGTTGTGGTATATTTCATCCAAGGCTCTGACATTAATCAGGCGTTAGGAGAGAGCGCCTGTGTCTATTAAATAAGCATTCTGCCCATTAAAATCAATTACTTTGAAAATGCCTCACCTAACTAGTGGCATGCAGACTTAAGTGCATTACCGTCTCCAGGAGGCCAGTCCTGTCCTTAAGAAGCCTCTGGAGTTTGGCATCTTTTGACTCACATCCTCCAATGGGGTAAGTGCTGGAACAATCTTGCCCCAATGCAAACCAGACCCTGATGCCCCCTAAGTGAAGGGGGAGAGGGCAGTCTCTTCAAAGACAGGCAAAGGGTTAGAGCAGTGGTTCTCAACCTGTGGGTCAGGACCCCATTTGGGATCGAACGACCATTTCACGGGGGTCGCCAAACAATGCAGTCCGCCATTTTCCCCCCTCTTCCTTAGCTGTGTTACTCTCTTTTATTCTATTGGCTTTTGAAAGCCAATAGAATAGACTCTAATTCTATTGGCTTTCAAAAGCCAATAGGAATTGTCCAGGCTGTCTCTGCCCTGCTGAGCCTGCCAAAAGTCCCATTCTGCAAACGGTGCTGCACCAGTTGAGTAGTCCTCGACTTACGACCGGCTGAGTAGTCCTCGATTTACGACCGGTTGGGGGTCGCGGCATTAAAAAGGTTGAGAACCACTGGGTTAGAGGCAAAACCTTTGGGCTATAACTGCCCAAATATAGGCTGCAAAATCCAGATGACCACTAGATGGCAGCAAAGGGACACAGAAAATGAACTCTATGCTGCCGTCTAGTGTTCTTCTGGACTAGTCAAGTTGTTATCTGCTATCTTACATCTCATGCAGCCAACCAACTAGGACAGGGGTAAGCAACCTTGGGTCTTTTATGACTTGTGGACTTCAATTCCCAGAATTCCTGAGTCAGCCATGCTGACATAGGAATTCTAGGAGTTGAAGTCCACAAGTCATAAAAGAGCCAAGGTTGCCTACCCCTGAACTAGGAAAACAAGATGGACAAAAGGAATATTGCTGCTCAGGAATACAAATAAAGAGTAAGGAAACTGCGAAGAAGCCGGATTAATTCTTTGCATCTATTTTCATTGCAGAAAATGTGGCTTTTTGAAACAGATATTTTCCCAAAGGGTGTCGGAGGCAGGGAAGCAAATAACAGTGACAAGAAATGAAGTTCTCTACTTATCTGGCTGACGAAATCAAAAGAGAGACATTGCTGGATGCAGATAGGATCCCTGGGAAATAGCAAATTCAGTTTCCCCTATCAAACAATAACAGTCATTCCAGTTTTTAAACAGAGATACAGGAAATGATGGGATGTTTTAAGGCAGTGGTTCTCAACCTTTTTAAAGCCATGACCCCCAACCGGTCATAAGTCAAGGACTACTCAAACGGTCGTAAGTCGAGGACTACTCAACTGGTGCAGCACCGTTGGCAGAATGGGACTTTTGGCGAGCTCAGCGGGGCAGAGACAGCCTGGACAATTCCTATTGGCTTTTGAAAGCCAATAGAATTAGACTCTATTCAAGAGAGTCTATTCTATTGGCTTTCAAAAGCCAATAGAATAAAAGGGAGTAGCACAGCTAAAGAAACGGGGGAAAAAAATGGCAGACTGTGTTGTTTGGCGACCCCCGTGAAATGGTCGTTCGACCCCAAATGGGGTCCCGACCCACAGGTTGAGAACCACTGTTTTAAGGTCTCCTCTGTGTGTTTCGTGGCAGACAAAATGGAAAAGCATCCAGAAAGCCAAATGTTGTTTTTCCATAACCAGATCTTGGATTGATGTCCTTTTATGACAGAGAGACGTGGCCTTAACCAACAACAACCTAAAACCAGGTGCCCAACAATCTAACCAGCAGATGGTCAAAATTGGGCCATGAAGAGGTCACTATCAGTCCCAAAGGTGCTTTTTCAAAAGGCAACTGGACTTTGCTTTTTTTTTTTTTTGAAATCATTTTGCTTCATATCCAAGAAGCTGCTTCGGTTCTGCCGAAGCATCTTGGTCTTCTTCAGTGTTCCAGAGTTACATGATCCCTCCTTGTGACTTTCTGACAAGCAAAGTCAATGGGGAAGCCAGATTCATTTTACAACCCTGTTACTAACTTAACCACTGCAGTGATTCCTTTAACAATTGTGGCAAGAAAGGTGGTAAAATGGGGCAAAACTCACTTAACAACTGTCTTGCTTAGCAACGGAAATTTTGGGCTCACTTGTGATCGTAAATTGAGGACTTCCTGTAATCTTGCAATTACTTCCAAGACATCACAGTGGACCACCTTGACCCCAACCAGCCTGGACTCTGAAAACACAGATCCTGGAAGGGTGTGGCACCTGACTTTCTCCAGGTCAACAACATCATCTCTGCAGTTCATCAACAGGGCACCATCCAGGGACCCCAATGCTGGCCCAGCCAAGCAGACCAGGATTCACATTCTTAATCTCAGTCCCATCTAGGCCTGAAAAGAGCCTCAGGGCCCCTATCCTGGAGGCTCTTCATCTACCTCATACGGTAGGTCCTCAAACCAATTCAACAATCTCAGCTCAGCAATACAAGAGTCATCAGCCACACTATCATCTGCCACGCATGCGCGTTTATCGAAGCTATAGCTGCCAAAAAAGCCATCACAGTCCCAGGCTGCATTAAGAGAGGGATAGAATGAAGATCATGTGAAATGTTAGTACAACTTTATAAAGCCTTGGTAAGACCACACTTGGAATACTGCATCCAGGTTTGGCTGCCACGATGTAAGAAAGATGTTGAGACTCTGGAAAAAGTCCAGAGAAGAGCAACAAAGATTATCAGGGGACTGGAAGCTAAAATATATGAAGAACGGTTGCAGGAATTGGGTATGTCTAGTTTAATGAAGAGAAGGACTAGGGGCCATCTTCTAATATCTAAGGGGCTGTCACAAAGAAGAGGGGGGGTGAACCTATTCTTCAAAGCACTGGAAGGCAGGAGAAGAAGCAACGGATGGAAACTAATCAAGGAGAGAAGCAACCTAGAACTAAGGAGAAATTTCCTGTCAGTGAGAACAATCAACCAGTGGAACAATTTGCCTCCAGAGGTTGTGGGTGCCCTGTCACTGGAGGCTTTTAAGAAGAGATTGGACAGCCATTTGTCTGAAATGGTATAGGGCTTCCTGCCTGAGCAGAGGGTTGGACTAGAATACCTCCAAGGTCCCTTCTGTGATTCTATTATTCTGAAGCATGGCTCTCCACAAGCAATAGACACATCGACCTACAATCAGTCTATGAACCCCTCAGAATTCAAATCTACCAAACAACCAACAGTGAGGGCACCAACCCTCAACCAACCCATGCAACTCCCCCTACTCTGCAACCAGCACTTCATGTCTCAATGACTCTCACCTGATGTGACCTCCTATCCCAAGACCACCACCTGACATGACCCATACCTGACCCATCACCAGAACCCTCACAAGACCCATCAAAAGACCCTCACCTGACATGACCCACACCTGATCCATCATGACCCATCACAAGACCCTCACCTGACATGATCCACACCTGACCCATTACCAGATCCCTCACAAGACCCATCAGAAGACCCACACCTGACATGATCCACACCTGACCCACAAGATCCATCCTCCTCCCCTGCAACCAGCACTTCATCTCTCAATGACTTTCACCTGATGTGACCTCACCATCACAAGACCCATACCTGACCCATCACCAGAACCCTCACAAGACCCATCAGAAGACCCCCACCTGACATGACCCCCACTTGACCCATTACAATCCCATCACAAGACCCATCACAAGACCCTCACCTGACCCACCACAACATCCATCACCCATTAAGATCCATCACAAGACCCATTACAAGACCCTCACCTGACCCACCACAAGATCCATCCCCCTCTACTGAACCAGCATTTCATCTCTCAATGACTTTCACCTGATGTGACCTCCCCATCACAAGACCCTCACCTGATGTGACTCACCCCTGATGAATTACAAGATCCATCACTAGACCCATCACGGCCCATACCTGATGTGACACCCCTCCCCATCACAAGACCTACTAGCCACACAAAGCCTTTATAAGCAGAAGAACATCGACACTCACATCCCCTAAACTCCGCTGAAGATATTATCTAGCCTGGTAATGAAACATTCAGAAACCAACCCAGAAGCTTGGAGAATCAACCTTCACCCTCATCCTCCATCCGAGCTACAGATATTTGCCGCTATCACAATCTCAGCTCAGTCCAAATGTGCTGATTTTGAGTACATTTATGCACCTAGTTTGTTAGTTGCTTTTCTAAAAAACAGTATAGCTCTTTACTGTAGAGAATGAAGAAGGTGATAATTGTTGTTGAGTCACTAAGTCATCTCTGACCCACATGGACCATAGCACGCCAGGCCCACCCATCTTCCACAGTCTCCCAGAGTTTACCCAAATTCTTGTTCATTGCGTCAATCCAACCATTTCATCCTCTGCTGTCTCCTTCTCTTTTTGCCTTCCAACCTTCCCTACATTAGGGTCCTCGCCAATGAACCCTCTCTTCTCATTAGGTGGCCAAAGTATTTGAGTTTCAGCTTCAGATAATAATGAACAGCAAAACAACTGAAGAAGGCACAACATCAGCTGAGGTTTTTTTTTTTTCACAAATCCCAAATAGCCAGGCTGGCACAGAACCCCCTTGTGTATGAACCTCACGGTACTTACTTCCAACTTTGAGGTTGACTCGATCTTTGAGGTGCCACGAAGACCCCTCGTAGCAAGAGTACTGTCCGTTGTGGGAGAGGTCCACATTCCGAAGGACAAGGTGGGAGCCGTTGAGATGGGAAGCATCCAGATCAGTGCTGTTGGCCGTCCAGGTGACAGGCGTCCCCTGGTCTACTGAGCTACATGGTATCGTCACATCGGTCCCCAACTGCGCGTAGTGGACGTGGGATTCTGGAGTAGAAAGATAAGGAAAGATAAGATATTTATCTCAGTGGGGCAGTGGGGAGGAGATGGGCTTATTAGTTCATCAACAGCAGAAAGTCTTGAGTTTCCTACATTCAAAAATCGACATGTAACTGGAGGACGTTCTCCAGCCTCTGTTGCTACACTACAATTTCTTGCAGCATTAGAGGAGCAAATCATGATTTTATTTTTATTATTTTATTTTATATCATGTTTTATCAACAGGAATAAAATGCAAAACAAAGAAAAACATACATCCAACATTAATGTCTGTGGAGATTCCCTGTCATCCAGATCACAGTTATCCAGAGGTGTTTTTTCAGGAGGCAACTGTACTTTTTCGTTTTTTTTCTGAAGACGTTTCACTTCTCATCCAAGAAGCTTCTTCAGCTCTGACCGGATGGTGGGGAATGGAAGGAGCTAGTCAGAGCAGAAGAATCTTCTTGGATGAGAAGCGAAATGTCTTCAAAGAAAAACAAGAAAGTCCAGTTGCCTTGTGAAAAAGCACCTTTGGAATCCAACAGTAACAACAACAAAAATTGTGTACAAAAAAGAAATATTGCATCCAGTTTTGGTCACCACAATGTAAAAAAGATGTTGAGACTCTAGAAAGAGGGCAGAGAAGAGCAACAAAGATGATTAGGGGACTGGAGGCTAAAACATATAAGGAACAGTTGCTGGAATTGGGTATGTCTAGTTTAATGAAGAGAAGGACGAGGGGGGACATGATAGCAGTGTTCCAATATCTCAGGGGCTACATAAAGAAGAGGGAGTCAAGCTATTCCCCAAAGCACCAGAAGGCAGGACAAAAAGCAACAGATGGAAACTAATCAAGGAGAGAAGCAACCTAGAACTAAGGAGAAACTTCCTGACAGTTAGAACAATTAACCAATGGAACAACCTGCCTCCAGAAGCTGTGAATGCTCCAACACTGGAAGTTTTTAAGAAGAGACTGGACAGCCATTTGTCCGAAATGGTATAGGGTTTCCTTCCTGAGCAGGGGGTTGGACTAGATGACCTCCAAGGTCCCTTCCAACTTTATTATTGTTGTTGTTGTTGTTGTTGTTGTTATTATTACAAAATGACCCAAACATCAGATAAATCTAACTCTGGTTGGATGCCAGAAAAAAAAATAAGCATAATAAAAAAACCCCTGATAAATCATGCAATTGATTGGGGGGGGGGGTAATCATATTAACCACTTGACTTTGCTGTCAGAAGGTTGCAAAAGGGGGTCATATGACCTTAGGACACTGCACCTGTCATAAATAGGAGTCAGTTGCCAAGTCTCCGAATTTTAATCATGTGAAAAAATAGCCATAAATTTTCTCAGTGCCGTTGTAACTCTTAATGGTCACACGTTAACCAGGTTTATATTAAATTCTCCTGATAAATCATGAAATTGATATGGAGTAATCATATCAACCTGGACCATAAGAAAGGCTGAGTGCCAAAGAATTGAGGCCTTTGAACTCTGGTCCTGTGAGTCCCCTGGACTGCTAAGGCGATCAAACCGGTCAGTCCTAGAGGAGATCAACCCCGACTACTCTTTAGAAGGCCAGATCCTGAAGTTGAAACTCAGGTACTTTGGCCACCTAATGAGAAGGAAGGACTCACTTGAGAAGAGCCTGATTCTGGGAAAGATGGAGGGCAAGAGAAGAAAGGGACGACAGAGAATGAGGTGGCTGGATGGAGTCACTGAAGCAGTAGGCCTGAGCTTAAATGGCCTCCAGAAGATGGTAGAGGACAGGAAGGCCTGGAGGAACATTGTCCATGGGGTTGTGATGGGTCGGACACGACTTCGCAACTAACAACAACAACAACAAAGCACATCAACCAAGTTTTAAATCGGCCACATCAAAACACGTTTTGAATTCTGCTTTCCAACTTTTCCTGTTCTGATCTTAGCTGGATTTTGCTGGGATGTCCCTAGCCAGCCAACCAAAGGCCACATTTGAGTTCAACCCAAGTCCAGGATTGAGATCCCCTCCACCCTCCTGTCCTGCATTTCAGTGAACTACAAACCACCAATGGGGGGGAGAGAAACATCAAGAGGTAAGGTAAAGCCATTGTTCAGAGTTTTGTGTATTTCTTCACCTGTGAAAAACTGCAAGGGGTGTGTGTGTGTGGGTCTCTAAGTGATGCTTTATTTTAGGAGACCAGTTTTTGTTTGTTGCAATCAGGTTGATTTTTGCCACTTGCAGGTCGTGGGACTCTGAGAAGCTGTTCTGAAATTCCTGTCTAACTTTGCACATCTGATCTCTGATTATGATTATTTTTCTCAGGAATTTGGATGCTCTCTGAGCTGGGCTGTTTTCTTGAAGACGTTTTCATTACCCAACTACATAATTTTATCAGTGCTAAAAGGGTGAGAGATTTGTAGGGAGGAGGAGGAGGAGGAGGAGGAGGAGGAGGACTGTTGCGTCCTTGGTGCTCTCTGAACTTGGTGGTTTTCTTGCAGACACTTTCATGATGGTGCAGTGGCTAGATTAGAGTGCCATATTGCAGACTAATTCTGCCAAATGTCAGTAGTTCGAACCTGACCAGCTCAAGGTTGATTCAGCCTTCCATCCTTCCAAGGTTGGTAAAATGAGGGCTCAGATTGTTGGGAGCAAGGGGCTGACTCTGTAAACCACTTAGAGAGGGCTGCAAAGCACTATGGAGCAGTATATAAGTCTATAGATAGATGATAGATGGATGGATGGATGGATGGATGGATAGATAGATAGATAGATGGACAGAGAGAGATGATGGATAAATAAATAGACAGATAGACAGACAAGATAGATGGATAGACAGAGAGAGAGATGATGGATAGATAGATAGATAGATAGATAGATAGATAGATAGATAGATAGATAGATGTAAGTAGGTAAGTAGGTAGGTAGGTAGGTAGGTAGGTAGATAGATCGATCGATCGATAGATGTAAGTAGGTAAGTAGGTAAATAGGTAGGTAGGTAGATAGATAGATCGATCGATCGATCGATCGATAGATAGATAGCCCTGTTGGCACAGTGTTTAGAATGCAGCATTGCAGGCAAACTCTGCTGACTGCCAGAAGTTTGATCCTGACTGGTTCACGGTTGACTCCATCCTTCTGAGGTCAGAGGACCCAGATTGTTGGGGGCAATGTGCTGACTCTGTAAACTGCTTAGAGGGGGCTGTAAGGCACTATGAAGTGGTATATAAGCCTGCTATCGCCCAAACTAGGCAACACCATCAGTGCTAGCAGGGTCATGAAACATTTGCAAGGAAACAACCAAGTTCAGGAATCACCAAGGACCCCTCGTTTCAACCCTGGACACCCCTGCTTTAACACATCCTTTCTGATGACAAGTTGGACAAGATTAGCCAGTTTCTCTCGTAGGACTCCACACTTTTCTGATCCTGTAAAACACACAGATAGAGATGGGGGGGGGGGGGCAGATGGTCGCCTCTGAATAACCTTTACTTATGTGCTTTTGTTGACCTGCAGCAGAATTCCGTCCGTATGGCAAGCATGATCTCTCTTTCTGACAAAGGCTGTGTTGATTCTTTCCTGGTGTGGGGTGTTTATCTCAACAACTAATAAATCTGTATCCTTCCCTGAAGCTGCTGCCAACTGGGGACTTGATCCAGCTACGCAGCCACTACAAAGGAATTTTGACCAGAACGACAAGGAAGAGAGCTCAGAACCATCCAGGGATAGGATTTTTCATTTGACCCACAGTTGAACCTGGACTGATTCTTGCAGAATAACAGAATTGTCAGGGACTCTGTGTATGTGTGTGTGTGTGTGTGTGTGTGTGTGTCTTCTAGTCCAACCCCCACTCAAGCAGGAGAACTATACCATTTCAGATAAATGGTTGTCCAGTCTCTTATTGAAAACCTCCAATGATGGACCACCCACAACATCTGGAGTCAAGCCATTCCACTGATTAATTAATGAATAACAGCTGGAAGGGACCTTGGAGGTCTTCTAGTCCAACCTCAAGCAGGAGACCCTGCACCATTTCAGACAAATGGCTGTCCAGTCTCTTCTTGAAAACCTCCAGTGATGGAGCACCCACACCTTTTGATTAATCCACTGATTAATAGTTCTGTTAGGAAATTTCTCCTTAGTTCTAGGTTGGTTCTCTTCTTCATTAGTTTCCATCCGTTGCTTCTTGTCCTGCCTTCAAGTGCTTCGGAGAACAGGTTGATCCCCCTCTTCTTCATGGCAGCCCCTCAAATACTGGAACACTGCTATCATGTCACCCCTAGTCCTTTTCATTAAACTAGCCGTAGTCAATTCCTGCAATCGTTCTTCACACATTTTAGCCCCCCCCCCATTCCCTAATCATCTTTGTTGCCTCTCTCCAACAAAGCAAACCTATGACTGTCAGGCAGGTTGTCCCCAACCATCTTTAGGTGACCATCAAACCTGGTCCCTTTAAAGCTGCATTTGACCTGTGGAGCCCTGGAGAAGTCCCCCCCCCCCATGCCTGCTGCTGTCAGACAGAACAGATCATAGTTTTTCAGGACACATTCACTGAATGTGCTGTTTGTGATGGGGAGATGCGTTACAATCTTCGGTTCAACTCAGCCAAATGCAACACAACAGACATGAAGAAATTCACAAACTACAAGCCTGCCGCCTCCTCCTCCTTCCCCCTCCCCCCTCGTTAGACCCAGCCAGGAAACTATGATCTTGCTCGATTGATTTTGCTTGCTCAATTTACAAGCACATCAAAGCAGCTTAATGGCAGATCAGTTGAGCAAAGTAGGGAGGAAGATGGAGAGGAAGAGAGAAATGCATTTCCTGTTCATTCCTTGTTTGGGGTCTGACCCCCTGTCATTAAGCTAAAAGGAATTCCACTGTCAATCATGATGTATTGATGGGTAATCATGGGAACTGTAGACCATCATAAACAGGGGTCTTCCCGTTGGAAAAATTTACATCTCTCATTACTTGGAAGAATTGCTGCAGTGAAAATGAACATCTTACCTAAAATGATTTTCCTGCTTC